CTTCAGTGATCACAGACAAATGCAAGTCTATGCGTGGCGGTGGCGCCATTGCTACTGTACTGGTTGGAGTGCTTCATCGACTGTGTATTTGGCATATTGAGACAAATGCGAACACAACCATTCGTAATAGAGAGATCGTTAGCGCATTCACCCACTTGTCGAAAGCACGTATATCAACTGGGGAGTTTGAGAGCCACTGTGAGCATTTGATTACTAAGCATGGTTTGTCTACAACTATGTGGCTGCAAGATTTGTACGCTAACAAATTACTTTGGGTATAGGCATACTTGAAGTATATTTATTTTGGTGGACTCCAATCAACCTCGCGATGTGATTCATGTAACCATTGGATAAATGGTTATGTGGGAACTCAATGCAGCTTGCAACGTTTTATTGAGGGTATTGATGAAGCACTGGAGGGGATGCGTTTCACGGAGGTGTATGATGATTATTCTTCTAGGCACATGAGGTTGGTCTGCAAGCATGACCTTCGCAGATTGGAAATGCAAACTGAAAGTATCTACACACATCGTACATTTGCTATCTTTAAGTCTGAACTAGAGAACGAAGCTTCTTATGTGTTAGCGGAGACAAGAACTGAATCAGATGGGACAGAGACATTCATTCTGAAGAATTCCATGAACCCGAATCGAATAAGGAGGTTAACATTTACTACGACCAATCAACATCTAAAATGTGAGCGTGCATTATTTGAATCTAAGGGGTTTCCATGCAAACATATGCTTCCAGTCATAGAAAATAAGCGATTTACAACACTACCCTCGACGTTGTTCAAGCTTAGGTTGACCCAAAATGAAAAGACACTATCTCGTAATCTTGGAGTTGGAGGTGATGTGGCAGAGAAAGTTGGTCGACTTATAAGATATGGGGGATTGTCACTAAAGTGTAAGCGTTTGTCTGACATCACGTGTGGTAGTGAAGCTGCTTTTAATCATGTCTCTAAGGCGTTGGATGACTTTACTCAATGGGAAATTGAGTTCTCGAGGAAGAGAATAGACACCAATGCACCTGCAAATCCTCCAACGCTACTTCCAAGTGTGAAAAACCCAAAAAATGGGAAGATGATTAGGGCTCAAATGTACACATTTTATCCCTCACTTCTTATTCGTTTAGCTTAGTATTTAATCGATCCTCGACATATTTTACGCTAGGTTGTGCTTGTTTTGATACATTTCAGGTCCTAGCACGTGTGGAAGGGTTGAGGACGAGTTTTGGGATATTTGGAGGTCAAAAAGTGTCAAAACCGAAGAAAAGTCCGAAGTCACTATTTGGACGCAATTTTCGCGTGAGACTTGTGTCTAAGGGACCGAATGATTGAGCACCAAGGTAGCCATGTGAGACTTGTGCCTTTCGTTTCGTTCTTGTGCGATAGTTCCCCCTTTACATGATGTGTAGCATTCACGTTATTGCTGGCGAGGAAGATGGAGGCATAGGATTAGCCAACGACCCAAAAGTTGACCGACCCGATCATATTATCCCTTAGTCAACCCTTTTGAGCCGTGTGTCTAAGGGTCGTTCTAGTGTTAGGTAGCTCGCGCTACTTGAGCTTGATTGATTTAGATAGAACAATCCTCCTTTTTCGTGTCTACACCTTATCGAGTTACCCTTGTGTTTGGAAGCTCCATTCATACCATTTGAGCTTAAGCGAGGTTCCACATGAGTGATTTGTGTATGGTTTTGCTAAGAGGCGAAGTGAGTGTGGAGGTAGTTTTTCAAAGTGAGCATTGTTCATTAAGTTCAAAAATGTGGTATGTTTATAGCTCTCTTTAGCCCCCAAAGAAAAGATAAGAAAAAGACAAAAAAAGACAAAAAAAAAAAGAGATCAATAAGAGGGCAAAGAAGAAAAGAGAGTGGGCCACCAAAAGTATAATAAATGTTGAACATGCTCTTAGAAGTTTTGCTTAGCATGAAAGCTTTAGGAACACTCACAAGTTGTTTGCCTACCACACTCTTGTGCTTGAAATTGAATAGCAAAGGTAGCATGAAAGATTGTTGCGAATGGTTTGGTGATTGGTTGTGGTTTGGAATCGAGGGAAGTTTGGTTTTTGGCCGATGCTAGTGGCCATTGAATATAGGAAAGGGTTCTAATCGAAACCTTAGAACCTTTTGTGGTTTTAGGATGGAAATGTGGAACCTTGTGCTATGTTTGCCACCACCCAAAAAGCCTTTTCCCCATGTCCTAGACCGAGCCACTCATTTGAAACTGTGTCTAAGACCTCTAGACAAGCTAGCAACGACACCCATCTTGTGAACTCTAACATTTAGAGGTTATCATCATGGTAAAGGGACGTTAGGATTGAGCGTGAATATGCACATCTTTTGCATCAAATGGTCTTGAACCCACTGGTCGAGAGTGAGTGATTCTTCATCATGTTTTGTTCATTTTTTTTACCCCGGTGAGGACCTAGGTTGCTTGATCGTTCGCTCCTATAATGTGATCTTCATGCATGAGTAACTGTGATTGGTGTGTCGTCGAGGCATGTTGCGTGTGGGTTCGTGAATAATGTGAGAACTCTTCTTTTGCACAATCTTAATACAGTTGAATGTTATTTGTGGTGGTTGCCAAGATTACTTTGTTTTTGTCCATAGGTCGGTGTCAAATAACCAGTGTGATTCATTCGTTTTGTGCCCTATGACATGCCCCAAAAATTGTGTTGAAAAAGAAGTTGTAAGCTTACCTTGTTTTGTACTTGGTTTGCTTGGGGACAAGCAAACATCTAAGTGTGGGGGCCTGATTAGGGCTCAAATGTACACATTTTACCCCTCACTTCTTATTCGTTTAGCTTCGCTTAGTATTTCATCGATCCTCGACATATTTCACGCTAGGTTGTGCTTGTTTTGATACATTTCAGGTCCTAGCACGTGTGGAAGGGTCGAGGACGAGTTTTGGGATATTTGGAGGTCAAAAAGTGCAAAAAACGAAGAAAAGTCCGAAAGACCGTGACAATTGCCCCATAGTAGTGAATTCAAGGCGTCCAAGAAACAGCTGCAGTTCACAGCCGGACGAGGCAGTTCGCGGTCTCCTAAGACTGTGAACATGGACCACAAATCGTGAACATCGAGCAGTCTAGCGGGGCTCATGAAGTTACTGACGACAAGGCCGTTCACAGTCTCTAAGACCGTGAACTAGGGCCATTGACCGTGTACCCAGGCGAGTGAAGCGGAGCGTTTTGGACGATGCTGAGTTCACGGACGTATTTAGGTGTTCACAGCCGAGAACTGGCCAACGCATCTGTGAACTGATCGCTTTCGGGCAAATATGAAGACAACAGCGGGGAGAGAGAAAGGAGAGCTTGTTTTTCTGAGAAGAAACATTTTCTTTCTCTAGGTTTTCAACCTAAACATCAAAGGCGAGTTCTAGTGAGAGAGAGAGTGCTAGAGTGATCTTGGAGCATCATTGGAGGCTTGGGTGGAAGATTCAAGCCTAGAAGAAGAAGATCTTGAGCTCAAATTTGTAATCCCTCTCCCTCTCTCTCTCTCTCTCTCTCTCTCTCTCTCTAGAAACTCACTCTTTTCTCTTGGGTGTTGTAGACCCCTAACTAATACTTTGTAATTACTTGTTTAGATTGAATGATTAATTGTGGATTTGCATCAATTTGAGTATTAGAGGTGTTTTCATGGTGATTGTGCATGCTCGTGCTTAGAAACCTATAGGTTGTGCATAATCGTGCTTAGCACCCTTAGGTTTGTGCATGTAGGTGCTAGCAATCTAATTAGCCACCTTAGCCTAGCTTAGAGAGGAAAATCCCCCTTCTAAGGGAGACTCAATCGAGTTGGTTTTCCTTCCACTTTCTGAGCCACCTAAACTAGGTTAAGTTAGGGAAACCCTCAATCTTGAGTTAAGCAAATCAGTTAATCGGATTAAGCCGTCCGGCCTTAGAGTTGAGTGAGGGAGTAAGTCGATTACCAATTGTCTAAACCGAAAGGGTCGAGTGACACGACCTTTCATGCTTACCTCGGTTTAGCAATTGAGACTATGGTCTCCGACCACATACGCTTTCCTCTGCGGTTTGTGGTTACCAGTTTGCATCTAGGTTGGTTGTCATTAATCCGCTTAAACTCCAGTTTGAGGGAGAGACCTAGGGAACCACTAGTGACCGAGCGAGAGGATCGATCCCGTAACAAATCGACCTCCAGTGAATCCATCCCGTGACAAATGGATCGCTAGTTGCTCCTCCTAGTGGTTCCCCTATACTTGGTGAGTGGATCGATCCCGTGAGAAATCGATCGCTAGTGAATTCATGCCGTGACAAATTGATCACTAGTTGCTCACCATCCGCGGTTCACAACCACCTACGCCACACGACGATCCATTCAATCCAACGAGTTATGGTAGTTACTTAGGGGGAAGCAACTCCCGGGTGAAGCTTCCTTAGTTAGACTTTTCCTTTATTTACTTTTCCTTGATAGTTTACTTTGTAGTTCCATTAGTTATAAACCCAAAATTTGCTTGCTAGATAACAACCTAAGAGATTGAAGTAGGAGTACATGGATCGGCCCGGGTTGACAATTTAAATACTTGCTCTATACTGCACCCGACTAGAGTTTAAAAACTTGGGCTCTAGTCAGGATTAATTTGTAGTGTGGTTTCGTGCGAGTCAGAAGACCAAGGGCACATTCAAGTCAGCGCGAAGTGCTTCGGGCAAAAGTTTAAGAAAGTGTTCAAAATGTGGAAATATGGTAATTTTCGCTCTAAGTATCCGAAAAAGGCCCAAAAAAGAGCATAAATTTCTAGTGCCGTTTTTAGGAGTTTATTTTTTGTAACTTTTTTTTATTTTCGCATTTATGTATTTTTAAATTATCTTCATAATATAAGCATGTATTATTTGGTTCTTGAAATCACTGGAAATAGAGTGAAAGGTCGACCTGATGGAGAAATAGATCGACCAAGGGACTATAGGTCGACCGAATACTATTCGGCTGACCAAACCAAGCTGGTCCGGTCTAACTCTATATATCATACTCCTTTTACTTTTCTGTAGCAGCCCCTCTCCACTTATTTTCTATCTTCATCTCTTCCTCAATTTCTACCTTTCTCTCCTATCCCTTTTTCTTCCACCCCAAAAAACCCTAAAAGGAGCACAAACACCTCCAATCCTTCCTTCTCTAGCTGCTCATAAGAAGAATAAGGTATGTTTTTCATTTGTTCTTATCATTTGGGTTAGTTTTTGTTTGTTCATATTAGAATATACCTATTAACCAATCCCCCAAATCTGTAAAAATTTGATTTTATGATGATGTTCGGAAGAATAGGCCAGCCACATGATTTTCTGTTCGACCAGTCTTGTTTTGATTCGAATACTGATTTGTTGCGATTTGTGATATGAAACACCCAAAACATGCTGGTTTTCTCGTCATATAGGTCAACCTTATTCACCCATGGTCGTCCAATAATGGTTGATTGAAACTCGGTTTTAAATCTACAAGTTAAGGGGTTTTTTCGTACTGTTATTCTCAATCCCAAAATTGGTCGACCTATTCTATTTTGTTTCGTTAGTCTAAGTCAATTGGACTCATTTGTGGATGTTTTGTTGCTTTTGCTTGGTATAGATAGGTCAACCTATTTCCTATGAGTTCGACTTAATTCTTGTTTGGTTTCGTCAATCCTATAAATTGGAATTGTCTTGGATGTTTTTTTTTTGCTTCTGCTTCGTACATGAAGGTCGACCTAATTTATGGGAGGTCGGCCTAAAATGTTTTGTTTCGTCAATCTAAGAGAATTGGACTCCTTTTCTGGATGTTTTTTTTTTGCTTCTGCTTGGTACATGGAGGTCGACCTAATTTATGGGAGGTTGACCTAAAATGTTTGGTTTCGCCAATCTAAGTGAAATGGACTCCTTTGTGGATGTTTTTTTTTCTTCAGCTTGGTACATGGAGGTTGACCTAATTTATGGGAGGTCGACCATGTCTGTAGTTGTATGCTTCTGTTTGGTAGAGTCGACCAATATGCAGTGAGGTCGACAAAATCAGTTTTCCTTTGGCTAATGTGAAGAAGTTATTCTTTGATCTCAGGATGTTTCAAGGAAAGAAGAAAAGAAAGTCAGACAAAGTTGCTGCCTCATCAGCTTCTGAATGGGAAGAGTTCAATCCTACGTTGTATCAGACCAAAATTCAAAGCGACAAATATGAAGACAACAAAATGCAAGGTTGCTTCGATACTTCCCCTGAAGAAGACGTGGCAATGTGTTTGGTGTTGCTGTCGAGGGACATCAAATGAAAGCGAAGATTCAGCAATGAAAGCGACGAACTTAAAGAAGAAGAAGAAGAAATGAGAAGATAGGGGAAGCGTCGTGGCGGAATAGGAAAGAAGAGAAAGGGGGGAAGGAAAATAAAAATTAATTAGTTAATTATTATTTTTTTCCAGTTAATTCCACCTCATATTATTATTGATGAAATATCACCAACTTAGTATTTTCCGTTACTCTAGTCATACCGTCAACTAACACTGTTAAAAGAATGGACGGAATTGGCTATGTTGTGTTTTCCTAAAGTTGTGGCTATATTTGTCACAAATGTGAAAGTTTTTGCTATAGAAGTGTATTTTACCTTTTTTATGCGCAATATCACAAAGTTTTATTGAAGCTCGTACATGTATTAATTATTGACCTTTTCTTGAAATGACATTTAAGAACTTATCGACCCGCCCAGTCCCGTACTCGTACATGTATTACCCTATCCGACCCGCATTTAATATGGGATGGATGTAGATATCAAGATTCCTGTCCCACCATGTCATTGCTATCACTAAATACGAAATATGAAACATAATGTGGTATTTGTAGAGTCAAATAACTCATTAATTGTTCATGTGGTATTTCGATGTTATTTTAGTGGTAATTGGATTAAAGGGGTCGTTTGTTTCGTGGATTTGAAAAATGAAGGTTTTGGTATAACTTGGATTTTGACAAACTATGGATATATGAGGGGTTTTGCTTCATTATGGATTTAAAAAAGACCATTGTTTGTTTCATGGATTTCATTATGGATTTTGTTAATTAAATTTGTATGTATGAAGTGAACTTTACCTTTATTGTCATCAATGATATAAGAAGAGAAAGAAAATATGAGGGATAGGTTGGTACCTCTAAATATTTGAAGCATACAATGAATTTTGAAGAAAGTCCATCATGAAACCAAATCCTTCACCAAATCTATCAAGCAAACAAGCCCAAAGCATCTCATTGTTTGAACCATACACATGTGGTATTTGGCAAGTGGTATTTAAAAAAAGCAGAGAGACAAAACTAGTTATTTTGAAATAACTAGAAGGTAGGAGTTATTTCAAATAACTCGTTTTAAGTTATTTGTAAATAACTCACATCCCCAATAATTCATTTGAGTAAAATGTTGCAGTTATTTGGACCCAAATAACTCACTCAATTACCTCATCCAAACGAACAAAAAGCTGAAAGATGAATTAAACTCACGCTATAGATTAATAAGATGAAAAAATTTCAAGGGGTCGCCACTTTTAATCTCGTTGACATGTTTATTAGAACAGTTAGACAAGGTGTCATACTTTATTTCAAGATTGAAATTTGTTATTTTTATAAGAGTGATTTTGTAATTAAATTTTATTTAAAAAATTCGAATATGAGACTTTCAGATTCAAGACTAATGGTATTGCGGGACTGAAATTTTTTAGGCATTTGTACGTGAAGTGAAAAGTTTGATTAAGTATATGAATATATTGAGTGATGTAGTTGATGAACACTTGTGTCTTTGGTGGAGGTGTAGTTTAGTTGTTGTGATGGAAAATTGAGTTGTCCATGACGGTGTAGGTTGTGATTTGTTCCAATGGACTAGCTAGTGTCGATGTGCCTAAGGTTAGGTTTTATTAATAATAAATTCATATATGACCACACTTGATCGGGAATCTCCTCTTGATTATGCGAATAATGCAAGGAATCTCGTCTTGTTTAAATGGGAAATACAATTGACGGCAAACGTGATTGAGTTGAAAATGTGATTTAAGTGCCCTGCCTCTAATTATCAATTGATGGAATTATTGAAAAAGTAGAAAATATCTTAATTAGGAGTGAATGATTGAATTTGACCCTCAAGAATGGTTAAGAGCCGTTAATTCATGTAATGGATTCGCTTTCATATACAATTGAGCGTAAACAATACGGCTTCCTTTTACTTAATTAATTCACTATTATAAAAAGACTAATTCCACTATATATCAACGATCTACTTAGGTGGACGAAGTGGAAGTTTGTGGAACAATGGGAGCTAAATTATGAGTGTGATGATAAATTAAACTAATTATATATTAATTATAAGAGAAAAGACGTAGAATTGGGACGTGAGTAGGGTAAGGAAGAAGGTCTCTCTCAATCAATCCATTGGCGTCTGTCGCCGTCTCGCACTGTTCCGCATGCGTAATGATGAGATATTTGTTTTGCCGAAACTCCACGTAATTGGTTCCCTCTGTACTGTAGTGGGCACGCAGCTCCGCCACCTAATCTGCGCTCTGCCGTCTGCCTATATATATATATGCACTCCGATCCTCTACCAGATCTGATCAGCGAGAAGTAGTAGCTAAGCGATGCGAGCGATGGTAAATGGCATGCGATGCGAGCGACGACGAAAGCTAAGGGAGCTCCCTTTAGTTCAATGAAGGGGGCAAAGAAGCGGCAAGAGCTGCCATCTCATGCATCTCCGGCCATGCTACAACAATCCATCGTCATGCCATCGGCGTAAAGCGTGGCCCGGTGTGCATGGGATTGGGGAGCAACTCCCTTCCGCTTTCGCTTTGCTCGCCTATTGGACTGAAGGGAGCTCCACTTCCCTTCATCTCTTCCAACCCAACCCACGCCATTTCTTCATTTCCTTTGATCGCATGCAATTTCTTTAACGCCCGGCCCATATACATCTATTTTTTTTTATATATCTAATTTCGTTGCTTTCTCGCTTCTATGTACACGTAGGACGGACGGACGGACAGAGGACTTCTGCAGCGACACCAAGTTGGCCGGCCCGTCAAGATATCATATCATATGTCTCAGCTGGCCGAATGAATCGTATTTAGCGAGAGAGCTAGGCCTGGACAAAATGGCAATTGCGAGCCTCGTGACGTGATCTTAGGCGGTTGGACCAAAACCCACACCATGCATTAGATGGGATGTAGTCATAGTCCACCCAAATGCCTCTCTTCTCCCTCAAACTAACTTTAATTTGTTTGGCCAAAACAGAAAGCGGGGGGAGCACCCACTTGCCACTTCCCTTCCTTGAGTGTATGCATAAAAATATAGTTTGTTTTTTCTTCAATAATGCCGTCGTTTGTCGTCGTCTTCCGTCTGAAATGTGGGAGGAGGAAGATAGTATGGTTTTAATTAATTTTTCTAGCTAGTTTTGATTTTTGACCCATTAAACTCTTTTTAAATGGCACTGCGGTGGCCGCGCCTTCTTATCATGGGTTCCTTTAGATGATCGACTTAGATGTAATGGAAAATGAGGGTCTATTAAACGAGGTGTTTTAATATGCTATATAGCATGGGTGCTTTATTATGTTTATAGTCCTTAGATCTTGTTATAGAATATTAGCCATGGGATTAAAGTTATTAAATTTTTTTTTCACCCGTTGGAATGGTGACCTGTTGCACCGGTTTGTTGCATAATAATTAAAATAAATTGAAATTCCAGTCGGGTAAAGCGATTGAGCTCGTCGAGAGCCTCTCTTCCGCGGTGGGATTTCAGAGCGTCTCTTCCGCGGCGGGGTTGATTGGCGGTGACGACGATGGCGAAACTGCATCTGAATTAGGGCGACGGCGACAGCGAACCTGCATCAAGGGGCAATTGCGACGGCGACGCTGTGAGAAGAAAGAGATTGGGGGTTTCAAGTTTGCTCTTCCGCGGTGGGTCTCTTTGACGATATTGAAGTGGTTGAGCATCGGCGACGGGAGCGGTGAGATTGGGTTTCGCGGCGGGTCTCTTCTGAGTGTGCTCTTTCGCGGTGGGTCTCTTCGCCAATAGTGAAGGGGTTGGTTAGCGGGTCACCGGAGGGAAGAATTGGAACAATATTCAGAGCTGCTTGATTGAGGGCAAAGTCTGCTCCATGTTCTCTTCGACGACGATGAACGCGGTGAGCAGAGGGTGACGGCAAGCGAGTGCGACGAGTAGGGTTTTGTAGTGTCTCCAGTCGATAGAGAAGGGGGTGGGCAGGTCGACGGTGAACCAGATTCTGAATTAGGGTTTTCGCGGTGTCTCCTCTCCCGCGATTATGCTTCGTCGCCTCTTTATGTGCCGTCGGCGCGAACACAATGGTGGCTCTACATTAGGTTGACGACGACACTATAACTAGGGACTGAGCAGGGGATTCATCGGGTCTTCAATTCGTCGCAGCTTTGCTGTGTTTCTTTGTTCAAGCTTTCAGGTAATAAAGATGATTCTCAGATTCTGAATGTTTCTCCATTTTTCACTTCAAATTTGTCTTCCTTTGCCTGCTACATTTATCTCATCGTCTGACTAAAAGAACCCTAAACTCGACCCTCATATGTAGAGACAACTATACCTTCTTTTTTCATAATTTTAGCTCACTATAAGTTTCAATTATGATTGTTCTTGTATAATGCTTCTGGGGTTCATGAATAGTGTATTAAAGATGATGAATTGGTGATCATCATTAGGGAATTGAAGATGTTCTGTGATTGTTGGGGTTGTTTGTGTTTTGCGCAACTTGGCCATCGGGTGGGATTTGGAATCTGGAACTGGATAATATTATTTCCTTTATCCATAAACAAGTTCTAAATACAAGTGGACTTGTCATTTGAAATACTAGTAATTAGCTCTACTTTGACTATTTCCCAGTTGAGTTCTGATGAAATGGATAACTATGCTTTGAGGAAATTTTGGTTCTATGGTCGTAAAACAATTATGAATTTGAGTTGTGTGAGAAAAGTGAGCTCATATTGATAGTTTGGTTGATCGATTTTGGTTTGTAGTTTGAAATGTTGTTTCAGCAGTGGAGTCGTTTGAAGTATTTGTTCGCTGAAAGTGCGGAATGAGTTAATGTGCTGGTGTAACTAGATGTGTAAAAGAAAGGAAGTTCATCTTAGCCAATTTGAATTACTCATAGGTTCTCTTCTTAAAGTCGACTCTCCATTTTAGTTCAATGAACTCTGAAGAATTTGTTGACAACAGTAGGCTTATGATAGAGATGTTGAGTTGATATTTGGATGTGAATAATGATGGCCGTAAAGTCTCCATTAGTACTTAGGTTTTTGGGTATTATGTTGGAATCGAAATCAGACAGTGTAAAAAGAAGATCGTGACTAGCAAGCCAATTGTTAGTTTTGACTTTAACGAAAACTTGTCTTAGTGGTGGTGGATCAAGATGTTTATT